GTGTGTGTGTGTGTGTGTGTGTGTGTGTGTGTGTGTGTCTTCTCCATTCACCTGGATGAGCGTCCCTTTAATTGAACTAAACATTTCAACATTCCTCTCTGTTCTTGACGGATTCTGCAAATCGAACCTTCGCCTGTGGGGGTAGCGAGACAAACGAGATATTAAGGCCACAGTAAGCAAGAATACCACTGTGAGAAGGCGATGGCACGTGGCTTGATACTCACCAGCCTTGCTCTGCCTTGAATTTGTAGGCAGTTCCAAGGATGTGGCAGAGTCCTCCCCCTGGTCGCAGGTCCAGGAAGCAGTGTGCCTGTAGAGAAATGACAATGATTGCCGTTTCTTTTGATTTGTAATTTTTTTAACCCATTGTGACAGATTTTTAAAGTCTGTTATTGACCTGTTTCTGACCTGGTATTACCATCCATCCTGACAGATGTGTTTGTGTGTGTGTGTTTCTGTGTCTGCATGAGCAAGCGAGAGAGTGAGAAAGAAAGTGAGAGCATGCAGATCTAGTATAAAGAAAAGGATCCCTTTGAAAAAAAAAAAGAAGATTATGATCAATATGTGTTGTTCAGTTTAGAGTAGGTGGTCCTTCAAATATGGCCCAAGACACTTTTGTGCTCACACAGTGAATGTGGTCACTTGCGTTCCAGATCACTAATGAATACAGTCTGATTGATCAGATCTCAGGACACATTGAGGACACATTTGGGTGCGTTCAGACCTGTACTTCACGCTGACTACTTGTGAATGGATACCCTCAGCAAATATTAAGACCAGGTCTGAGCGGGATCATTGTTTCCTTTCCCCATTGTAGCAAAGACTACCATGGAAATTACTTTTCAGATTTCTCACGTTTTCATCCTCTGCAGTTTTTCTATAATAGTATAACATACAGAAGTATTACACCTAGCTGTTGTCAGACAAATCGATCTGTATTTTTCGTCATACAACAGTATAGTGGTGAAGCTCAGTTAAAACAATGGAGCGACATACAATCGTAACACTTTGGAGTCCGCAAAGAACCGGATTGTGTGATCTCTGATATTAGAGTAAAGTGTGTGACAACAGTGGGAGGCAGACTCACATGCAGCTTGGTGAGAGCAGGACTGGTAGCTTGTCGGCCAAAGGCATCCTCCTGGAACTGGAGCAGCTGTAAAGTGACTGCTGCCAGGGCCTGGCATGATGGAGCATCCACCAACACAAACTGACACACACACACAGAATAAGAGTTTTACATGGGGGTTTTCATCATCATGCCTTAATAACAAGAAATATAACCTATGGCGTGAACGTTGCCTTCCTGCATTTAACGACAGTCTCCCCAACTTAGCACCTGTATTTGGGCCGATTAACCTCCACGATTGGGCTGAATTTACTTTTCATATTTTGCATTATTTTTAAAAACACAATCCTCGCTAGCCAGTGTAGATGTAACGTTATCCAGCGTGAGACGGTCTGTTTACAATGTGAGCTACTGGGCTTGCTAGCAGGGGGCGGCTAGCTTGTTAGCTCGCCTCCTCCCCAGCTAGTTAGCTACCTTTTTGTAGTGCTTCCCGACCCACAGCCGCACCACCTCCAGCTGGGCTAAAGTGTCCGGGCTCTCCCAGAACCTGGCGGACGGGTTGCTGTCTTTCTTCCGATGCACGGTGGCCCCGGAGCTGGTCTGGCTCGTCCCGGGAACGCCGAGGTTTGTTCCTCCGGACATTGTGGCCATAATAAACCGAGATTAATTTCAAACGGGAGAACAACACGGGCTAGCGCGCTCGCTAGCTTCTTTGCGCTCTCGCCTTCTCTCGCGAGACTCAGCGCAGTTGTCGCAGTTTTGCTGTTTACTTCCTTTTTTTCTCGCCTCGTTTCCAGGTGTCGTTTTAATTGTATTGCGCTTTTTAATGTTGGTATCACACGTTTAAAATGTATATGTAATGTGCAATAATGTTGTTTTGTGTACAACAGAATACATTTCATTTGTAGCAAGCGAGGACTCTTACGTCTTTATACCGTTACAAGGAAGTAACTGCGCTGGACATGTAAACAAGTGAAAAGTGTAATTGGTTCGCATGTTGTGATTCATATACTTAAATGTCTTATGTATTAATCTTACTGTTCGTTTCTCTGCTCATATGATTATTAGTGTGGTATTGTCTCTGATCCAGACAGCTGTGGCAGTTTGTCATATTTAGCATCTGCAAAAACCCACAGACCCTCACACCTTCAGACAAACCAGGCACCTGTGTGTAATATTAACATCTGCTCATCATATCTCTCCCCAGGCCCTCAGGATCCAATGGGTGTCCAGGGTCTAACCACCTTTGTGGAGGGGAACACGCACCTCCTCCAAGACGTGAAGTTTAGGGACAGCAGCCTGGTTATTGATGGCTCCAGTCTGTACTACCGCCTTTACTTCACCTCCTCCTTGGACCAGCAACACGGTGGTGACTATGATGCCTTCGCTCGCAGAGTTATCAATTTCCTCTCGGCGTTGGCAGCCTGCAACATCCGGCCCTATGTGGTACTTGATGGAGGTAAGTTTTCATTGGTATTGGTTCCTTCATTTCAGGGAATGCTATGTCCTATCATTACAATTAGTTAAACATGTTCTTTTTTATGACCAAGATAGAAATTCACAGATCTTTAATTTCAGTCAAAATTAGGTCAATTTTCACCTACCCAGGTAATGATAGCTGTCAGTTTGTTCCCCAGTTGGTTGGAATAATAATTCCTTGAATTTTAAAAGTTGTTATTCTGGTAGTTTTTCCTCATCTTTCAGGATATTGCACCTTGTACATATTGTTAAGCCCTATGAGGCAAAATGTGATACAACAAAAATATGATTTGATATTTTATATATGAAAAATAACAATAATGGAATCAAAACATTTACCTGAACCTGCACCAAGTCTTTAAATCAGTAATGTTTGTCTTTTTACGATTTTAAGGTATGGATCCCAGTGACAAGAAGTTTTCCACTCTACGACAACGCCTACAGTCCAAGATAAGGGAGGCAGATAATCTCTCTCATGGCCGCAATGGCTCCCTTCTCCCCATCCTCACAAAAAACGTCTTCATTCAGGTCCTCATTCAAAGAAGAATCCCACTAGTCCAGTGTCCAGCTGAGGCTGACAGGGAGATCGCATGTTTGGCTCATCACTGGAAATGTCCAGTTCTTGCCAACGACAGTGACTTTTACATCTTTGACCTACCAGGTGTGAGTCATGTTAGGATTTTAATTACTTTATCCATATCGTCCATTATTCTTTGTTCTGACTTTTTTTCATTTGTTACAAGTTGTTTTTGTCTTCTGTGTGTCATCTTAGGTGGTTACCTACCGCTCAGTTCTTTCCAGTGGACCAACCTTAACGGTAAAGCCCCTGATCGCTACATCTCAGCTCGGTGCTATACCACTAACGGCCTTTGTCGCTGGTTTGGAAGCCTGAACCAGGAGTTGCTACCCTTGTGTGCCGTCTTGACTGGAAATGACTATGGCACTCCAAAAGAGGCTGAAACACTTCTTGCTATCTTAGATGTGAATGCATTAGTGAGGGGTGGTGGCAAGGGTAAAGGTAGAGCAACCAACTCCCGCATCGAGGGCCTCCTCCTCTGGCTTTCTTCTTTTTCAACCCCGGAGGAAGCCCTGAAGGAGGTGAACAGGTTAATGGGGGAAGGAAGCGGAAGGGGCAACAGAGGACAGAGAGGTGGGTTGAGTTCACACCTGCGGGCAGGTATGGAGGAGTACCACATCACCCCTCAAAGCTCTTTAGCTCACTGGTTCTCTGGAAATAAGGCAGCTCTAGGAGGGCAGATCTCTCAGCTCGCAAAGCTGCCAGAATGGCTTACCCATGCTGCAGCCAGGGGGCTGTTGAACGCCTTGGCAGTAGATGCTCTGGTGATGCACAGGGTTCTGCTGATCCCCCAGGTGGAGAACAGTAAACTGTCCAGCAGCCACTCTACTGCAAGAGCTATACGTCAGGCTATATATGGCATTCTACAGCAAAGAGGCCCTGTTAATGTATCTCAGGCTAGAGGTGGCAGCGTGCAGTTACCAAAGGGCCGGGGAGGTGCTGTTAAAGCACAGGATATGAGGGAGCAAGAAAACATGAGCCAGGGTATGAGAGGTGGGAAAGGGCGAGGGGGAAGAGGAAGGGGAGGTAGTAACGGAAGTAGAGATATGGCTCAGGGTGTAATTTTACACACACAGCAGGGTGTAAATGTGGGAATTAATATTGAACAAGCTGCTGGTGGAGCTACAATGCATGCCCAGGGCTCCACCGCCCCAATTTGTGTGGACGAGTATGACCGTCTGGATCTGAACTTAAGGAAAAACCAAGTGGAGGCACATCCACCCAGAACCCAAATTTGTCTGGATACACTTGACCAGGTAAACCTTGAATAAAACATTCTGTCCAACCCCATATGTTTTTGTATGTTTGGGTGTAGTACAGTTGTATGATCATTTTCACAGTGTCGTCCATTGATTTTACACAGGTTCCCGTGGCGGTTCGTCTTTGTGTCCTGTTAGAAGTCTTGGGGGTTAAAGAGTCTGCGCTGGGTGCCGTTCCTCTCCACCTGAGGCTCGCTGTAGCAGTGACAGGCTTCTGGCTGCGAGAGGCCACACCACCGCCCTTACAGCATGCGCTTCAGGCTTTGGTGCTGTGCATGGTTCATGGAGAAGTGTCCCGCAACAACCAGCCTGGTGCTTCCCATCACCAAAATGCTGGTTAGTTGTGTTCTATCTACAACTACACAGACCACAGAAATGTTCGCCCAAAAAAAAAGCAAACAGTCAACCATCTCTAATGATCCAATACCCGTTGATGCCGTTTATCCACCTAGTCCAACAGCAAAACTGGGCTGCAGAGCACAGCGTGTGCGCAGCGCTGGACCGACAACGTGCAAGACCAGGGGAGAGACGGGGCTTGGACATTGGAGCAGCTCACATTTTCAGCCAGTGGCAGGCCTGCCTCTGGAGTGCCATGTGTCTCAACCAGCTTCTGCTGCTGCCGCTGCCTGAACCCTACCTGTCATGGTAAGACACAGGGACACAAAAGACAGTAAAAGTTAGCATTTTCTACCTTCGATATCTAGACCTGGAACAAATTACTGTTTTAGTTAATGATTTATTTGTCATTTATTTTTGTGATTTTCTGTGAGTTTATTCTTTAAAATCTCAGACAGTGTTGGTAGATGTTCATCACAACGAAAAACCAAACCAACCAGTGCCAAAGATAATTAATTAATTTCCTCTCATATAAAACAAAATGTAGTAAATAATCACATTTTAGAACCTGAAACCTACGATTTTTGGTATTTCTGCAATACATAGCTTGATCAACTAAACAATTATCAGTATCATTAGAAAATGATTTTGTGATGATTGCCCAATGTTTGCCGCACTAATGAGAACATGAAATAAAAAAGCTTTAGAAAAAGGTTCTCTGTTCTGTCAAATGTAATTAAAAACACTGAAAGGGTGAACTCACCCACATTATAAAAAGAATCTCCCATAGCCATGCATTTAGTCTTATACAATATACAGTTATATGGTTTTATTTAAAGAGGTTTTGAGGTGACTGTCTCTTGACATTTCTGCTACCACCTCAATACAAAAGAAGGTAATGAGAGTTTCACATCAGAAATCAACACCCACATCTTTCTGCGTGTTGATTTCCATAATCCAGAAAAACAGGACATTGTTTCTTTTTTAAATATACGTTTTAGTGTCAAAATTAAGTTTAACATTTTGTCTGTCTTTGTTTCATCTCGGTGCCCTCCCTTCCCCTTACTGTGTTCTCAGGTTGTTCAGTGGTACCTTGCTGCACGGCCTCTTCAGGTATGTAAAAGGGGGAGGAGCAGCTGAGTCTCTCGTTGCTGGGGGAACCTTTTCTGGACAACTTTACTTCTCCCTCCTGGATGCTGTGAGGAAATGCAGCTCCAAAGCCAATCCCTCTTCAGCGGCAGGGAGGGGGAAGAGAGGCAGAGGCCGAGTGAGGAGAGGACGACGGGGAGGTGGGAGAGGAGCACGCGGAGGCGGGCAAGAGACAGAGGAGATGATCAACAGGTTTGCTCTCCTGATGGAAGACGATGACTCTGATTATGATTGATGAGGAGGCAGATATAAAATATTCTGATCGATACAAAGCTCGAGGAAAGGACATTCCAGTGGTTTATAAAAAACGTGCTCAGGGAATGCTAGGAGTGGTCATTTTCCAGTGAAGGTCAACACCTCTTCATGTTTATCACTGCGCTTCAACCTCTATAACCATGTTGCACTAATTAAGCCTCTACTTGCATTTAATCTTCAATTTTCTGTTGCCATCTCAAATCATGTGATGCCAAGACATACGTATCAGAATGTCTTTGTTTTTCCAAAGCACAACCATATTTTAGCAAACTTTTTTATCAAAATGTCACAGTAAGTAATCAATCTGTTTTCAACCTGACAGTTTTATTCACCTTTGTCAATACTTAAAGTTAAATCCATTATTGGTGTATGGCAGCTAATGTCATGTTAATGAGTAACATCTGAAATGTTATGCCATTTTATCACTGATGTCTTAATATGTAAATGAATGAATTTGGACCATTGTTTTTAAAATGACCAGTTTCTACTTGTAACTACATACAGATGAGAATACAATATTTATTCATTTCTCTGTACATTCAGTTTTAAGTTACACAGAAAAAACATATATTATACACAACACAACCAAGATTCAACTATTTATAAATGTGGTATATCTACACTCTGTAACAGTACAAACTTCACAGCTAAAAGAAAATAAGAAGAAACACTCAAATTGTAATTTCTCTGACATGATTCATCAGACGTTCTTTTTGGTTTGAGATTTTTTTTAAACAACTAAAAGTCTACATATACCAACTGACAAATCAAACTAAGTAAAAGTGTCATTGTCACCTAAAACATACATTTGTTGATAACGTCCCACTGGAACTTTAACTTTAGCTCCTGAGATTCAGGTACAGATAAAAGGTTAAAGAAAAATTTGGCCACCGGACATAGTTAAAGAACTTCATAACTTAAAATACACACGTGAATATTCACATTCACAAAAACCGGGTCGCAAACTTCACAAAAGCCTTGTGTAAATCAGTTCCATAATTCTATTGGAGGCCTAATGCTGTGGCTGCTGCAACTTCCTTAACTTAGTGTACATTACAACTTCCTCTCATTTTCTATGAGGTTGAGGCAGACGGAGGGGCTGTGATTGCAGGGTGTGACTGAGAGTCTATTAAGTCCATGTCTTCGTCTTCATTTACTCCACATGTGTCGACCACGCAGATTAGGCAGCTGGTGACGGGAAACGCTCGCACCTTGCTGCAAGTCACCCACCTGAACACGCAAGAAAACTGATTCAGAGATGCAATGGCAGGGTCATTAGTGTGAAACAAGCTATTATGTATAGTCGTTGATTCCATCACCTGTCAGTGTCAGTGTGGTACTCCAGGACATGTCCAAGCCGCCCCACACCTTGGAACCCTGCCAGCACATAGATGACATCACCGACTGCCGCACACTTCACTGTCACACCGCGCCATGGCATCGGCGAGGCAACACGCCACTCATTACTGACAATGTCGTAGTACTCCAATGAGTCAAGTCCACCTACAAAAAACATAAAAACAATACCATACAAATGCCACTGGAAAATCTTGCTAGTAAAACCTGCTAAAACTACTATGGTCAATCTTCACCACTGGAGTGTTCATTATCAGTTGTATTACCTAGTGCCCCCTGCCCTCCAACAGCATAGATCCTATTGTTGACCACCACCAGGCCGTGATTCTTCCTGGCCTCTCTCATCCCACACAGCTCCCTCCATCTGAGGAAAGGAAGAGAGGGAGACAGAGACAGGACAAGGATGAGTTTCATTAGTACAATTGGAGTGTAACAAAAGTACTTTATAATAGTGAAAAATGTCCCTGCCTTTTTGTGGAGAAATTACGCTGACTTATTGGTTTGTCTTCTTTCAAAGCCCATTGGTTACACTAAAAATATTGTAGCCAAAAAAAAACCTGTCGTCCTATTGCATTGACAGTTTTGGGAATAAATGATTTTGACAAAACAAAATCAATCTGTATATATGCACTTAATAATAATTATATACACTAATTAATCACTTGGGTGGCTGTGGCTCAGAATGTAGAGTGAGACATCCACCAACCACAAGGTAGGTGGTTGAATCCCTGGAACCTTCAATCTGACTCAGGGAGCATGTGAGCATACACAGACTGTGCATCATTCCTTATGTTACATAAAAAGCTGTACTATTTTGTGACTCACTGTTGTGTGTTGGGGTCAAAAACCTCACAGTTGCTGAGGATCCTGCCAGACACGTTGTTCCCCACTGTTCCTCCACAGACGTAGATGAGACCATAAGCCTCCACTGAACCGTGGCTGCAGCGGGCCATTAGCATGCTGGTTTTCACCTTCCACGACTCAGTCCTTGTGTCGTAACATTCGAAAAGGTTCAAGGCTGAACTACCTGTCGACACACACATACAGTACATAGTAGGTTTGCAAAAGTGGCTTGTAATTGTTCATAAGGAGAACAACAAAAATTGCCCAACCTTTTTAAGCCAAAAATACATATACATCATACTGAAAATACAAACCACTGCATCAAACCCCCAAATTTCCTACTTTCCCTCTATGCCACCTCCCTGTGCTCACCAACTTCAGACCCTCCAGATGTGTAGATTTTTCCCTGGGCAGCGCAGGCAGCCAGACTGTCGCGTGGTGTGGGTGGACCCAGTTTGGAGTACCAGCTGTCCTTCAGAACATTGTAGCAGTCCATGCGCTTGATGGGAAAGAGCTGTGAGCCACCCAGGATGTAGACCACATTGTCCCAGAATACAGCTGTGGCATCCCTGCGCTTCTCAAAAGGGCATCGGATGTCTGTCCAGCTGGAGTCCTGTATGCAGAGACACACTGACACCTCACTGCACAAAATGTGTGAAAAATCTTGCACAAAAACCTCCTTATTTTTCACAAATTGTGAAACTGAATCTTGTCTTTAGCTTTAGCTGTAACACTGATGATCATGAACACACATATTCATACGATATTTTGACATGTGCAGCCTGGTACCTTGGGGTTGAAGTAGCGGCAGGACTGTGGCTGGGAGCCTCCAAATAGGGCGATGCGGTAGTCGTGCTTCTTCCGTCTCAGTCGGCTGCTCTCTCCCAAGTCCTCCCGATCCTCCAGGGACAGCAGGTGGTAGCGCATTCCACCTTGGACAAAAAACACAGGCTGTGTGTGTCTACCAAGCAGGCATTAGGGTTGACATAATTTCAGCATAACTTGCCCTCATGAGAATCATCAACACACAGAGATAATGTAGTTAAAATAATGCAATGGTGGCTCATACTGTACGTTCTAAATAAGTAACAACCCATCAAAAACCCTAAATGTTACACGAGATAATAATGACTATCCAACTTTTCACTACAATAAAAAACGATGATACAAGTAGTTAAACTAAGATCCAGAGTAATATCGAATGTTCACAAACAGTAGAAAGCATCAACTATTCCCTCACTGCACCAATATTTTTTGGGCCCTTTGCATGAATAAAATACAGTGCGACTCACTGATGACCATCTTGAGGCACTGGGGGTTGTCCTGGATGAGGGGCTCAGCCTGCACTGTCTTAGATAGGAAGGTTTTGGAGACCAAGGGGAAGCGAACACACCCCAGCACCTCCACCATATACTGCTGTCTGTTACACACATCGTACTTCAGCCAGCGCACTGCTGCGTCATAAATCTTTGAGGACAAATACAACGACAGAACATGTCAAAATATGTTATCGATGAAATTTCATTTTAGTCAAAGCTATCATTCAGCTTTGGCCTGATGTAATGATTCACATTCATTTGGCGATCCAAGCCATTAAAGTTTTTATTTAGATAC